ACACACACACACACACACACACACACACGCACACGCACACGCACACACACACGCACACGCACACGCACACGCACACGCACACGCACACGCACACGCATGCACGCGCGCACGCGCACACACACACACACCTACACCTACAGCTTGGCCTTCTCTACATGTTCGTTCACTGAGTCGATCCTGGAGTTGATGCCATGAACCTCGCGAGGAGCACAAGTTTCTCACTCCAACATAACACACTTATGAATATCTGCGTGTATCTGCCTTCTCTGCAAATTTCTCAAACTCTGCATCCATGTTCTTTTGGAGGGAGCTGAGGCTTTCATCCGATGCCTGCGCGCAAACTGCTGACAGACCACTTGCAACCTCCTCGCACTCACCTTTATCTGCTTCGCCAACTCTTGATGAAAGCGAGCTTCTATAGCTTCACCTCAATTCGCCGCATGTTCGACCCACATGGCAAAGCCGAAGCGTGTGCTCTTTGGGAGTTGGCGCGCCATGGCCGCCAGGTGTTCTCTTTGCTCCAATACCTTGGGATGCACCGTGCTGAGCCGTGCTGTCCTAAGTCCTGGCCCTGCCTCTTCCCAAGTCAGCGACTCTCGGAGCTTCGCCGAGTCGCTGTGTCCAAAGATGCTTGCAGCTCTTTCTTCCAGTCCAGCTGCTCTGTGCCTTGAGCAAACACCAGTCCCATGTAAGGCCTGGTTTTGTCGTAAGTGTAACCGCAAAACCGACGAGGCCGATCAGAATGCAAGAGCACGAAACACACGAGGCAATGCTGCACCGATAGGGGGTCGTTCATCAGTGGTCGGTGATCGTTCATCCTTCCGCAAATTCCGCGGCTGGCTGGCTCCAAAAATAGCTACGAGGGGAAATGGGCAGGCATCTGTGACACTCCCTTTGTCTGCATCAAAGTAAAATACCCAAAATTCTCAACATCTGCCGTTCCGGAGAACGCAACTCTTGCGATATCTTCCTCTCACCTCTTTTGGCTCCTCTTGGCCTCCCTTAGACTTTTGCCTTCCGTTGGCTTCCTTTGCCTTCAGTTGAGTTCTTTTGTAGTCTGGTTTAGCTGCTCATAACTTCTCTACATCTTTTATTCTTGTGGAAGCAAAAGTTCATTCTATGAAGATGTGTCTGGATGGCTGTAGCAGATTCCCGGTACAGGAGTTAAGAGCGTCTTGGGTCGTGAGATGCCGCTAGATTGGGTGCGGCCTCCGCCGTGGCGAGGACCAGGAAACCGACGAATGTTATTCCAAAGTCAATCCCTCCTGCCACTTGAAGCTGCCCAGGCTGCCCACAGACCAGTTCGAAGACATTAAGCGTTATGAGCAGGCCTGCTCATGCTGACCCGGAATGTCCTAATATGCGTAAGCACACCCTCAATCGCAGCCAAACGCTGCCAAGTCAAACAGACAACAGGCTGCGAGGATGTTACGTCAGTGTCCTGGCCCCTGTCGGAAAAGCTCTGGGGCTTGATGCCCGGACATGCAAGCTTTGCTGCGGATGAGCATGAGAGCTAAGCGCTCTGCGAAACGAAGCTTCCAGCTTGTAGGCAGCCAGTGCGGCGGCCTCCTATTCTAAAAGACATATTTTGCGAAGCACTGCCGCCACAAGACAAAGGCGTTGAAGCACCGCACGTCACAGGCATTCTGCATCGCCTCTGCCAGCCGTTGGAAATCAGTGCTTGCAGTTTCGAACTTTCTGTCGAGCGCAGCCACCTGCATTTCTGCAATCAGGTATTGACCGCACGTGTTCTTGCGGTCTTGTAGTACCTGCCACTGTACCTGCCCTGCCCTGCCCAAAGCTCCTGATTCATCAATCAGCCTGGCGTCGGAGCAGCTCGGTCCTCTCCGACTGGCGCTGAAAGGCCGCAACCTACCAGCAAAGCCAGGAAGATCAAAGTATGAACAGCAACCTGGCTCAAAAGAGTGTGTGACCAGCCTCTGCATGCATCGCAAATTTTGCTGATGCCAGTGGGTCAGTCATGTGCGGCACCTTCGATGGATTGTCAGATTCTCTGCAGCTGCCGATGCTCTCATCGTTAGCAATCTTAGTTAGTCGGTGTGTTTACTCGTGCCTCCGTCACGTCGCTTTCTGAAACCTCGACGAATGTTGGAGACCTGACAAGAGCATGCATGAACGACTCATGATTGCAATGATAGAACATGACAGAACTCTCGGAAGTATGGACAGACCGAATCTTGACTAATCACTGGCATGTAACGCGATATAACGCGATGCTAAACCATTAGGCAACTTTCCCCTAGAATGTGACCTCAGCCCGTCACGGAACATCTGCACAAGGTCCCACTGACGTGGCCGCCGACTTCGAATCCCCTGCAGCAACTGCTGAAGGACTGTGCTTGGCTTGGCATCCACTTCTTACTAATAATAATACCACCACTACTACTACTACTA